GGCAGCTCAGCTGAGGGACGGGAGTGAGGCCCAGCCCCAGCCGAGGCGGGGAGAAGCCAAACCAGCGCCAGCCCGGCATGGCTTCATGTCTTCTTGCTGCCTCCTCCTGGATGTTGGTCGCTCCAAGGCCTGGCAAGGCAGGTTATGTCTTCACCAGGCTCTACCCAGCCCTGGCACCTGCACAGCCAGATGAATTGGGAGGGGTGGTCAGAGGTGCGGGAGAGACAAGGGAGGGGCAATTTTGGAAACTTTTGGCAGGTCAGGAAACACCTGGCTCTTCCAGTAATGGATTGTGCAAGGGTTTAAAAAGAAGGCCATTCAGTCCGTCTTACCGAGAGCTGGATCTTTTGCTCCGAAGGGAACTGCAAAGAGAGAGCTGCTTCCTCAAGGCTCTCTGACTCCTAGGAGTTGCAGTTGAGGTGCCTCTTGCTCAGAGCTCCCCGTGTCTGACTTAGTGGTGTGAAACAAGTGGAAACATCTGAGGGAATCCTCAGCATTGTCCTATTTTGAAATACTAAGTGGTCTGAGGTATTGGGCAGAGTATCAGCAGTCTTTCATTCACCATGTAGATTGCCTCGTCTCTCCTAAACAGGTGAGGAGCTTTGTCGTCGAGCATTTGGATACGTCGAGCCCTCAATGTGTGGCAACTTCTGTTGCTAAGAACAACACTCCTTGGCTTGCAGTGCTGGATTTGATCACCGGCTTGACCGTATGCTGGAGCAGATGCTAAGGGAAAGGGCCCTGAAGGCTTAAGAAACACTCCTCCTCCTCCACACTTGGTGCCCCAAGAGCAGTGGAAGATTGAAGTAAGGGGACCACATGTCAGTCTCCTCTCCCCACCTGGGCAGCCCTTGCTCCCAAGCTCCTGCAAGTTCCACCCTGGGATGAGAGGGTGATCAAGATGCAAAGATTCCTGCTTCTAACCAAAGCACAGCAAATGACTGCATGGCTTTCAAATCTCAGTCTATTACAATTCTCACCCTAATAACAAAGCTAAAAAGGTTCCACATCATGTGGGGGAAGATCACAATGGATGTACATTCAGCAGAACGGCTTTTTGCGTGACTCCTTGGGGCTGTAAGTATCCACGAGCCAGAGCACTTCCTTCTGAAGGGAAGAGGGAAAGAAGGCACAGAGGGCAAACAACCCTTCCCGAGGGTTAACCAGAGGCACCCTGGCATCCCGGCTATAGCATCCATTATTACATACTTGCAGCAGCACAAAGATCAGAGACACTTCCATTTGTGATGAGAGATTTACCATAAGAGTGGTGAAATCCCTGCTTCAAAATTAGCATTTGAGAGGCGTTGCTTTAAAGTATGAGCTGAGGATAGCTTACACGCATAGAGACCACAGTGATATACAAAGTACCGTCAAGTATTATAAGAATAGAAAGTGCCTGAAAAATGTAACTGCATATTTTGCATGTGATCTAATGCAAATCTATTTGCCTTTCCTCTTCTTGATACTTGGGCAAGAAAGTTCAGGGAAAACCGTAAAATGCAAATCCAGTTCTTTTCTGAGTTATGGATGTGCAAAGTCATGGAAGATACTGTAGCTGGTATCAAAATCTGTGAACAAGGTTTGACCTGATAAACGTAAAAGAATTTATCAGATCTGGTTGATTGAAGTTGTGTGTTGCTTGCACGTTATTTTTTGCATATTAGTTGTCATTTAAATATTTGTTGAAAAAACCTGGATCTGTGGCCAAGCATGAATCTGAGCTTTAGAATAAGCCTTGAGCTCCCTGCCCCAAACTGCCCAGTTGTGAAAAAAGAGATGCTTTCCTACGTGGTACAAAGGGAGAAAGGGAGGGTCAATGCAGTGCTCTGTTCCGGCGTGAGACGGAATCTGAAAATTTTTCTTCCCTTGAGCCTGCAAATACTTGCCTGTTGTTCATCGATGGGCAAAGGGGGGATCGTATTATCCTTGTAACAGAGAGGAATAACTGTATTGGCCATGGGACCATTGAGGGAACCAACAGCTGTGATGTTCTTCAAGAAGGTGGCCATGGTGAGAGACGGATCAGCTCCTCTGGAGTAACCAAGCAGGCCCACCCCTGGTCCCTTCACCTGGTAGACAGGAGGAAATCCCCATCAGTACTGAGCTCAAAAACACAAGCTAGTTCCTGGAGAGGGACACTGTATAATGCTGAGAGTTTGCAAAACAGTGTAGGAGGTGATGGCAATGATTAATTTTTCTTCTGGACGAGTGCCAAGCACCTCCTACGCACAAATTTCTTCCACTTCCATGAAAAATGTTCCCTGTTGCTATGACGACAGCCAAGAGAGAGCAAGCACAATGACACCATCTGAGCACAGGTTGCAGGAGAAAAGTAAAACTAGTCAGAGCTAGTGTGGAAAGGTTTTGCTAGTGGGGAGGTATAGGGATGGCCTCTGTGAGAAGAGGCCAGGGGCTGCTCTCATGTCAGACAGAAACACTTTTAGCCAGCTCCAAAATGGACCCACTGCTGCCCAAAGATGTGGGGGAGGAGGTGTTTTTAGTGTTGTTCTTATTTCTCACTAGGCTACTCTGTTATTAACTGGCAAGAAATGAAATTAATCTTCCCTAAGTCAAGTCTGTTTTGTCTGTGATGATAATTGGTGAGTTATCTCTCTGTCCTTGTCTTAACCCAGGAGAATTTTCATTTTAGTTTCTCCACCTGTCCTGTTGAGGAAGGGAAGTGAGAGAGAGGTTTGGTGGGCATCTGATGTGTCAGCCATCCCTTTCCTTCTGGCAGCCATCCTCAGGCCATTGATCAGATTGCTATGGGGGGTTATCATGAGGGGTGAGGTCCAAGATGTGACGAGAGGAAAACTGCACAGAGGAAATGCCCTGTGGCAGATAATGTGTGATCGCTTAGAGGAGCAGAGCTGCCTCGCTCATAGATAGACTGTAAAGTAAGTGTATTCTTGCACTTTTCCCATTTCCTCCCAGTGGAGGAATATCAACACTAAGGCCTGAGAATAGTTTTAGCAGCCTTTGGATGAGAAATTTTCAGCTAGAATTCCAGGTGAATCTGCAAGGTGCATTTCCTGCCGTGGGCACAACAGCTTCATAGTTCTACTCGCCTTCTGAGAACCTCTTCACCACTATGGGGTCATTTTGGAAGCCCATTTCTGACTGAACCACTTTAGGTCACATGGAGATGCTTCTCCTAGAGCAGGGAAACAGAAAACAAAGGGCAGCTGTGGCAATGATGAAAGTCTTCTCCTGGTGAATATATCCCAGGGAGATCTTCCATATGTAAGTAGTATAGGGAAGATCACAGTGCCAGTTGTCCAGACACATTTTACTCTCCAATGCCAGATCTCCAGTGATAAAGTGTGACATCAGAAGGCTTAGCGAGGGCTGTCACAAGCATACACGTTATCAGTAGGCTCAAGGCTGTTGTAGCTTGTGCGTCTGCCATGGTGGAGCAACATCTCGGGAGTTTGATGGGAGAAGTCCCTGCTTGGAGCCTCTGGAACTGTTTGTGGCTATGGGAAATTCTAACTGCTATGAAATATGAAATTGAGCAATTGCCTGTTTTCTCTTCATCAGCACCATTGCACTAGAAAATCATCAGTACCCAAGAAGGGTACCTTCAGATCCACTATTATAAAAAGCCATAGAATATATATATGCTCCAAATAAACACTCTAATTTAAGACACCTCAGAAATCAAGAGAATTGGGTGAACTTAATTTTGATCCATCTCTTCATACTTGATTCCATACACACTAGAAAGCAAGAGACCATGAAAGCAATGTCTGTGTTGTTAACAATGCAAATGGCTTTCTTGTCTAAATTTTTCTAGAGATGCTGTATGCTTTTGGCCAATCTACATGGAGTTTTCCTTGCTAGCCACTGCCTGTAAAGTAAGGGCAATCATAGTTTTTTACCTTGCCTTGGGTTGCAAATTGAAAAGTATTGATACTTAAGAAATATGGAGATCTTCAGTGCTGGAGGCCATTAGAGAAGGATGAACAATCACTATTGCAAGTGTATTTGTAGCATTATTATGCATTCCGTATTCCCTTCTTATTATGAACAATTCAAACATGCATGGAAAATGCATTCCTATTTTTATACAAGGAACAAAGCATCAAGCAGATAAATTGCTTTCTTATTCCAAAACTGAGAGATCAGTTTGTCACTAGGTCTGAAATCCTCTAGCACGTTTGGGCACCTCACCATTTTTCTCAGTGGAAGTCAGCGTAGTGATCCCGAAGAGAAGACCATTGCACATCAGGCAGTCAGTGACCCACAACAGAGTTAACCCCAGTGCACCCAGGCCAGCGCTGTGCCGTGCTGCAAGTATGGCGTGGCCTTCAGGCCTGTGCTGTGCTGCGCAGATCCCCTGGCTGCAGGAAG